TACAACTTGCCCACATGGAGGAGACTTTGCATAACTTCTCTTCCATTCTCACCTTACAACCCTGAGTAGTGAAGGACATTTTACGTAGTCCTGCCTTAGGAATAAAAGCCAACTGTGTGACCTTTTTTTTTTTTTTTGATTTATATGCTGCCCTTCTCCAGAGACTCAGGGCGGCTTACAATGCGTTAAGCAATAGCCTTCATACTTTTGTATATTTATACAAAGTCAGCTTATTGCCCCCACAAACTGGGTCCTCATTTAACCTACCTTAGAAAGGATGGAAAGCTGAGTCAACCTTGAGCCTGGTAAGATTCGAACCTGCAGAAATTGCAGGCAACTGTGTTAATAACAGGGTGCATTAAACCACTGTACTACCAAGGTTAGTCACTTTCTTTCAGTGCATCCCTCCTCATAGGACTGTTGTGGGGAAAATAGAAGGAGGGGAAAGTGTTATGTATGTTCATTCCCCTGAGTTATTTATAAAAATAATCAAGGTGAGATAAAAACAATCAAATAAAAATATATCCTGGGTGTTTTTTTAAAAAAATTACATTGACCACCAGGAAGCAATACGTTTTAACCTATTTGGGATCATCAGACTTACACAGCTACAGATTTTTCTATGACCTTCAAACTCAAATGGTAGCTACTATGAACCATGAGTCCCGAGTAAGATGAAACCAGTCAGATATCGCTCCCTGGTGGTCAATACAAACCAGGGGTAGTATTCACTTACCTTTGCTACCGGTTCGCAAATGTGAGCATGCACATAATTTCCATAAATCAGGGGAAAATCCTTGAAATGTTTGCCTAACACAAGGTCAGATGAACACTGCACAATTGGAAAATCTGTACTGTTCTGCAGCAGGTTAACGTTTGATTGACTGGATTAGGGGGAAAATCCCTTTCCTTGATTCTACAATATATCTGAATATTTTGTGTGAAGTCATAACATAATAATGCAGCAGTAGTGGCAGGAAATCTAACCATGATGTCCATTTCCTTTTCTATTGTTCTGTGGGTATAAATATATGAGAAAGAATGGCTTCCTGCAGTAACATATCAATCCCCAAAGCTGACCTCCTTGTACAATGTCACTAGCAGAATTTGCCATGAAACATTGCAGAGTTATGCATTTGCTCAGGGTTGGAACCTTATTCTTGTCAAGGATGCTTAACTCTTTTTTCCTCAATCCACCTGTCACTTTTCTTCAACTGATAAACCCAGATTCTATATTATAATCCATATTCCTGGATTACTAGGAAATCTTACTAGGTCACTAGGTCACCTCACTTGTTTTTCTGCAGTTTTTCAAAATGTGGGCTTTATCTAAGCTTCTTCATAATCTTCCATTGCTGCTATTTTTGCTGCATGATTAGGTGGCCATGGAATGGAACATTCTTACAGAGGTTATAGCCATCTGAAGTCCTGTAGGATTTTACCACATGGTAATATTTTTTATTTGTATGTACAGCAAAGTAAGTCTCACTGAGTTCAGATTTCAAGCTAAGACTTCAGTCCCATCCATGCTACCTTGGAGTAACTCAGCACTACGTACATCAGAGATATGGTGCTGAGATATCTACATCTATATATCTATATTATCTATCTATATTGTTATGGATATGGATATGGATATGGATATGGATATGGATATGGATATGGATATGGATATGGATATGGATATGGATATGGATATGGATATAGATATATAGATATAGATATAGATATAGATATAGATATAGATATAGATATATATATATAGATATAGATATAGATATAGATATAGATATAGATATAGATATAGATCCACAAATAACACATTACACGAGAGGTATGTCTCTGGTTTATGTTCCCCAGAATAAGGCAAGTCAGACTTCAAAGCAGTATTCTGCACCTTTTTTTTTATGGCTGGACACTTACTATCCATTTTCTCCTTATAAGTCTTTAACTACCAATTCACAATGATTGAACTGAGTTAACTCATTCCCAAATAGGTTACACTGACCACTATTCACCAGTCCCTGAAAGTACATCTGCATGAAATATCCTAGCCAATTATCCAGCCTTATTTCATCAAATAAAAAACAGACCAGTGGTGGGTTTCAAAATTTTTTACTACTGGTTCTGTGGGCGTGGGTGGGTGTGGCATAACTTGGTGGCATGGCTTGGTGGGCATGGCAGGGGAAGGATACTGTAAAATCTCCATTCCCACCCCAATCAAGGGGAAGGTTACTGCAAAATCCCCATTTCTTCCTGATCAGCTGGAATTGGGAGGCAGAGAATAGATGGGGGTGGGGCTAGTCAGAATTTTTACTACCAGTTCTCCGAACTACTCAAAATTTCTGCTACCGGTTCTCCATAACTGGTCAGAAGCTGCTGAAATCCACCTCTGAAACAGACTATCATTTATTCATCAGTTAAGCTGCCCAGCTAACAGATTCCATTAATTGGGATAGAGAAGAAGGTAAAGCAGAAGGAAACATTTCCAGTACTCCTACTTTATTCAATCCTTCCTCCATACAACATACTTGTCAAGCTATATCTGAATACGAGTCTTGTAGTCTTCTGAAAGAATACTAAACGATGTCCACAAATTCCATGACTACCCCAAAACATAATAGTGGCATGTATTTGCATATGAAAATACAAAAGCATAAATAATCTTGAACTTATCTTCAAAAAATAATTTGTTTATGATGATATAGATCAGCAGAGGTGGGTTTCAGCAGGTTCTGATCAGTTCTGGAGAACCAATAGTGGAAATTTTGAGTAGTTCAGAGAACCGGTAGTAAAAATTCTGACTGGCCCCGCCCCCTTTTATTTTCTGCCTCCCAAGTCCCAGCTGATCAGGAGGGAATGGAGATTTTGCAGTATCCTTCCCCTGGATTGGGGAGGGAATGGAGATTAAACAGTATCCTTCCCCTGCCACGCCGAAGCCACCCCCACCAAGCCACACAGAACCAGTAGTAAAAAAATTTGAAACCCACCACTGTAGATCAGGGGTGTCCAACCTTGGCAATTTTAAGACCCCCGTTGGCAAGGGAACTCTGGGAGTTGAAGTCCACAAGTCTTAAAGTTACCAAGGTAGGACAGCCCTGACATAGATACTCCCAGGATGACTGCAAATGTCTACAAGACATCCCCAATTCATTCAGCCATTTAGCAAGATTTTGTCGATTTCAAAGCACCTGGCAATTCTTAAGTTTCTCTTCAAAACAACCCAGCAATAGACATTAAGCTTGAAATGAACACAGGGGTGAAATGCTACTGGTTCGGGCCAGTTCACCTGAACCGGTAGTAAAAAATGCTACTGGTTCGCCAAACCGGTAGTTAAAAATGCTTTAAAAAGTTAAAAAAGAAAAGTTCCAACGATCGCATGTCACTCAGCTGATTGTTGGAACTTTTTTTTTTTTTTTTTACTTTTTAAGCATTTTTTTACTACCGGTTCGGGTGAATAGGTAGCTTTAAAAAATGCTTTCAAAAAGTAAAAAAGAAAGGGCTCGGATGATTGTGTGGCACAGCTGTGATCGTCTGAGCTTTTTTTTTTTACTTTTTTAAAGCATTTTTATACTACCTATTCACCCAAACCGGTAGTAAAAAAAATGCTTTAAAAAGGTTTAAAAAAAAGGTTCCGACGATCACAGCTGTGACACACAATCTTGGGAACTTTTTTTTTTTTTTTTTTCTTTTTTAAAACTTTTTTTTCTACCAGTTCAGGGAAAAAAAAAAAGTTTTTTAAAAATTAAAAAAAAAAAAAGGTTCTGACGATTGTGCGGCACAGCTGTGATTGTCGGAACCTTTTTTTTTTACTTTTTTAAAGCATTTTTTTTTTACCTATTCGCCTGTACCAGTAGTAAGAAATGCTTTAAAAAGTTTTTTAAAAGGTTCCCAAGATCGCGCATCACAGCTGATTTCCTCCCCCCCCATCCCCGCTGTTCTACTTACCTTCCCAAGCTTCCTTTTCGTGTGTACTGTGTATGCGCACGCAGTGCGCATTTGGTGCAAACTGTGCATGCATGCATGCAGCGCATGCTTGGCACGCAGTGTGCATGCGCGACCAGTGAACCGGTAGCAAACCAGTTCAGATTTCACCACTGAATAAACAAGAGTCAATAATAAAGTCTCAACAATAACTTGGAGCAGCCAAACACAACATTATGTTAGTGTTACTGAAGTTTTGCAGGTGGATAGGATGATTTTTTAAATTTCATCCTACATCTACATTGTACCTTTGGCTTCATTGATATACTATCAAAGTGGGAATTGCTATTAACAAGAACACACCTCTGTAATATTTTCCTTAGCATCATGCAGTGTTGCCATCTGTCTGGTAAACTCACAAGATTTGTTTTTCTCGCCATGTACATGTATACATCCAAACTAGACTGCATTGTTTCTCTGTATCATAGAATATATGTGGGTATGTGAGTATATGCATGATTTTGTATTTGTTTATTTTGCCATGTTTATGTAGTATATATTGGGGGTGGTGACCCTTTGAGAGCTGTATGCAACAAAATTTTATTTTAATGTATGCCAATTAGTGTACATGTAAAGTGACAATAAGGTTACTCTAAGTTGTAAGTCTAAGTTCCTGGGACATTTAATTGTTTTACTTGCCCCAAACAGTTTCTTCTAATAGAGCTGAATTCTATCCTTATTGTTGCATCCGGAGGCTGCACACGTGACAAGGACGGAGCAGCCGATTGGCCCGATCGACAGCTACCAGCTGGCGGGAAATGGGCGCATCCTGATTGGCCCAGCCGCTGACAGCTCTGCATATTTAAGAGCTGTCAGTGCCTCAGAAGCTGCCCCGCTCTCCAAGGTCCTCAGCACCGAGCGGGTCTGATGTTAGCTGTTGTTGTTAATAAAAGTTGTTATTAATTCGCCTTGCCTCCACTCTCATACATTGTTCTCAGTACAGAACACTTATTTTTTTATTTAAGATTTGATTTTTAAATATTGCACTGATCTAATCCTCTTTTTTTATTTTTCAGCACTGAAGCAACGACTATCATGGCTGAGCACGGTACAGCCCTTCCTAATGGTACAGTCAGCTGGAGTACACCACCTTCCACAGACTGCCCTTGGCCAGAAGACTGGCAATGGTTGTTACGTGCCTTGCCTGCCTTTCTCTGGTTTCTTACTATAGTGGGAATACTGGGGAATTCATTTGTTCTCAGTGTCTGGTGCTTCCATAAGAGCCGCTCCACTGTGGCTGAAATTTACCTGGCAAATTTAGCAGCAGCTGACCTTCTGTTGCTCTGTGGGTTGCCTTTCTGGGCTATCAACACAGCCAACAAGTTCCATTGGCCATTTGGGCTCATCCTTTGCAAAATCATCAACTCATTCCTTGTTATCAACTTATATTCAAGCATTTATTTTGTGGTCATGGTGAGCATTGATCGCTACTTAGCCTTGGTGAAAACAATGTCTCTGGGACGCCTGCGCCAGCCAAGGTATGCCAAATGGAACTGCTTTGTGATTTGGGTTTCTGCCCTTTTACTTTGCTTTCCTCCTCTGGCATTCAGGTCATTAAAGGGTGTGGAAGGATATGAAGGTATGGCCTGTGTTTTGGACTATCCTTCTGTTTTTCAGTGGACAATTATCACGGCCATTTTGTTGAACACAGTGGGCTTTCTGATACCAGTCTGTATCATTACCTACTGTTCTGTTCAAATCATCCAAGCTTTACAAAACCGTGACATCCAAAAGATCAAAACCATTCAGACTGAGAAAAAAGCCACCATACTGGTTTTTGCAGTCCTTCTTCTGTTTATCATCTGTTGGCTTCCATTCCAGGTCACCACATTCATAGATATGTTATATCAAATAGGTGTCATTTCGGGTTGTGATGTAGAACAAGGCATTATTGTGGCTAGCCAGATTGCTGCCGATTGCGGTTTCATCAACAGTTGTCTTAATCCAATCGTCTATGTCATTGTCGGCAAACATTTTCAAAGGAAATGCAAGGAAGTCTACTTTGGCAGAGTTCTTCGAAGACCTAGCTCAGCACCATCAATGACAACCATGGAAATTCCCCGTATTTCCTTTTCAGCAGATAATCAAAGGAAAAAATCTGCTGCTAGTTTATCCCCAAAGCATAATTTGCTTATTTCATGAAAAAAAAAAGATAAGAGATTAAGTAAAATTATGGTTTTATGTAGAATCTCATTTTCAGTAACAAAGTCTAATTTATTGCTCATTAAAGTTTGTGGAAGATGACATTGGTTTGCATAGGATGCCAGCTTCAGTCAATGAATGAGGCTCAGTTAGTATGTTTGTACATATGTGCTTGTATATATGTGCATGTGTATATCAAATATCTGCATCAGATATCAGATTCTGAAGATCCTTTTCAAAAAACAAAAATATTCCTGCAAAGAAAAAACATGTATGTCTTCTATAATATTTTAATAGGGAGTTCAAAGATGCTCAAATACTTGGGAAATCTTCTGATGCACCCCTTTGCTCTGGAATCCTTGCTCTTCTGTCATAGGAAGAAGAGCCATTGTATAGGCTCTATTTGGCTTGAACATGAGAGTTAGCCCAAATCCTATCCAGATTGCCCAGTGAATGTACAAAAAGGAGAAGATGACAGCTCCTGCTGTGACTTCCATGCAAAAAGCTCCAAGTTACAACACATTTTGTGTCAGCGCCAAGCATTTACTTTCCTGCCAGATCAGTTGTGCAACTGTTTACCCATAAGGCAGGGGTGAAATTCAAAATTTTTCCCTACTGGTTCTGTACGCGTGGCTTGGTGGGCGTGGCAGGGGAAGCAGAAAAGAAAGAAACTGAATATTTTTCAACTTGGGACTTATTTTATCAATGGTTAGCTGACAGAAACAGAAGTTAGAAACAAGGAAATATATAGAAAGATCAGTGATATAAGGAAGGTATGTTAAATTGGTTAAACAACTACTATGGTTATTATTATTATTAATATTACCCTGTTTCCCCAAAAATAAGACATCCCCTGATAATAAGCCCAATCAAACTTTTGAGCGCATGCACTAAAATAAGCCTCCCCCCAAAAATAAGCCCTCTGATCTGTCCCCGTACCCACACACACACCAACGCAGCCAGTCGAGGGTTAAGGAAACACTTTGGAACGCACCCAGGTCTTATCTCCCACTTGGCAGCAATAGACACACCGTCTGCCAAGTGACTTTATTTTCAAAGTAAAACAGAAAGATAAATACTCAAGAGTCCAAATGTCCGACACTTTAAATCTTTCTCTCAGCAGTTCCGGACGAGGCTTTAGTGACTATCTAAGGTTTGCTTTGTTCGTCACAAGGATCCTTGACCACCACCCTCTATTATATAGTCTCTGGGGTGTGATCCAGTGACTCAGTTCTAATCCCTAGCACGCCTCCTAAGCTGCTGCAAACGTTTATCACGCCTTCGGAGGCGTGCGTCCAGGAATGATGTTTCTTCATCACTCTGATCCGAATCAACTGTCTCCTCTCCCTCGGCCGGCACTTGAGACAATGCCAGAGGGGAGGGGCCTGGAGAGGGAGGCCTGGCTGACTCCTCTTCCTCATGCTCGGAGCTTTCTTCCTCCGATGGGACAGGCTCAGAGGGCGGGGCCACAACACCCTCCCCGAAAATATTTAAACACATGCACAGCCGATCCCTGCCATTTCCTCTGGTTAGGTTTAGGGAGACAGAGCTGGAAATCAGGTAAGAAGGTAAGAGGAACCCTTCTTGCTCCACACGCCCCAAATTAATAAGATCTCCCTGAAAATAAGGCTAAGCACTTATTTCAGGGTTCAAAAAAATATAAGACAGGGTCTTATTTTCGGGAAAACATGGTATTAGGATTGATATTAATGCAATGAATATTGTTGTAAACACTTTATTATTTTCTAAAATGATTTGTACCCAGACAACACACTGTTCAATTGAAGTTGGAAATTTTGTATGTTAAAAATAAAACAAAACCTTAATATATATTTTAAAAAAAGGAAGCCGCCCTGCCATGATGAATAGTTCAGACCCACATGTACATGTTCAGTTCTTATTCACCATGATTGGGAGCTAAAGCTATATATGTAGCCCTTAAAGTATGACCGCTATTGTGCCCCAAATTTATGTCACTAAGTGAGACATTTGTTAAGTGAGTTGTGCCCCACTTCCTTGCCACATTTGTTAAGTGAATCACTGCGGTTGTTAAGTTAGTAACACGGTTGTTAAGTGAATCTGGCTTCCCCATTGACTTTGCTTGTCAGAAAGGTCGCAAAAGATGATCTCATGACCCCAAGACAATGCAACCATAAAAAATCTGAACTAGTTGTCAAGCATCTGAATGCAAATCACATGACCATAGAGATGCTACAATGGTCATAAGTATGGGAAAACGGTCATAAGTCACTTTTTTCAGTGCCGTTGTAACTTTGAACAGTCACTAAATGAACTTTTGTAAGTTGAGGACTACCTATAATAGCTGTTGTGGCCCGTACGCGGCCTGTGTGGCTGGTGGCTGATTCGGATAGTGAGGAGGCTGGTGTGGTGCTGCACCAGCAGCCTGTGCAGCTGGCACTCGAGTCGGATAATGAGGCTGGAGAAGATGTGGTGCCAGAGGCGGGGATTCAGCCAGGGCCTTCAGAACCTCCAGAAGCTCCCTTAAGTGAAGAGGACAAAGAGGAGGAGCCTCTTCTCAATGCACGGGCGCGCAGAGCTGCCAAAAGACAGGAGTGGCTCCTCAGGAGGAGGTCTCCTTGAAAGTAAGGCTTGGGGCTAATTGGCCACCCCCTTAGCCTATTTAAGGAGGAAAGCCTGAAGCAATTTGCAGGGAAGAACTTTGTTCACTCTCCTTCGTGCCTTGATCTTAGTTCTCTGCAAATTGCTTCTGAGCTTTCTGCCAACCATAGTAAGATTAAGATTATTTATTCTTTGGATTCTTGTAGGCTGTTGAGAAAGTTAATTAACAGCCTTTGTTTGAAAGAAAAAACTGATTTAATTTAGTAAACTAAGGTTTGTACAGACTTTGTGTGTGCCGTGTTCTTTGGGGTCTGTAGCTGGGGCAGAACAATAGCCACCTAGAGTTGCTTCAGTAATTCAGTTGCCTAATAAAGTGATAAACCTCCACCTGCTCTGTCTATAGACGTTAATGGGTCTGGCGGCTAATGGGCATAGCAAGGGGCAGATAGTTATGAGGCATAGGGAAGGGTCTGGAAGTACTGGCTTTATTGTTCCATGACATCAGCCAGCAGAAATCAGCAATGCTCTTCTTTTTAGTGTGGCTAGTCCTGAATGTAGTAAAAGTGTGAAATGCCAGATTACCCCTTTTTTCCTCAGTGAACCACTAGCATCTAGAGAAGAGTCTAAAAGCAGTGGTTCTTTTCACCTGAATGCTATTGCATTGGCAATATACATATAATCAATTGCTCCACCTTACAGTAAGGTGAGTGGAAGGCAGACCGAAATAGCTATGTTTTGTCAGAGACCAACTAAGGCTTTCAACTGCAAAACTTGAATCATGTTCATATTTTACATGCTGTCTTAACTCAGTTGTAAATCTGTATTTCTTTGAGTGGATTTGTTTGCCACTGAAACGATGAATTATGAATATATGTGTTGTTTCTATTGCTTTACTTGATTTGTATACATATATATTTATAAATATAAATGCACATGAACACATGTAATTTTTTAAATGGTCTATTGCTTTGAAAACAGTTTTCTTATAGAAAATGCTTTCTCCTGTAGAACTTATTATGCTATCTCTTGCTCACTTAGGAATCAATCCATTCTCTAAATTCCAAAATTGTTATTTTATAATAATATTATTATGTAATTAAGGTCTTGTGCTGTGTTTAGCACATGTTAAATAAAATTAATATATGCTGAAATTCTATTTTATTTAATCAGATGTTACGAATTCTAGAATTTTGTATTTTCTAGCATTCTCCATGTAGGTTCCAGAAAAGTAATGGGATGGACACAGCCTATCTATTCAGTAGAATCACATAGTGTTTTGGCATTACAACTTCATCCATCCACATAATCATGTTAGCTGCATCGAAACAGTATTTGTTCTGAAATACTCAAAAGTATTTCGTGAAATGTTCAAAAGAATGAATTGAAATTCAGGATGATAAGCTGTTGACACTGTGATTCTCATACCAGGGATACAGCACTACAAGAGTTGCTGAATTATCTCCCAGTATCTTTCTTTCCTGGTGATTATGGTAGGAATTGTAGCTCAACCACATCTAAGTTCTCCACTAACTCCTAATTTATAACCTTCATTTTTCACATGTTTTCAGGTATAAAGATATAAACATGTTAAAGAGACTTGCCAAATCTGGAGTCATTCAGATGGATGGTGCTTCACATTATATAACCTTCTATCTTAACTTGGGTAGACTGAAAGTATGTTGAGATCTAATGACAAATAGCTAGGAGAGCCACTGTATGTCAGCAAGCTGCTCTAAATCTCAAATACGTGATTATAACAAAATAGCTGTGCACATACATATACTAGTAGGTCAAATATTTTTAATCAAGGTTTGTTGAATAAATCACAATGGCTGATTTGCACACAAGCTATCATATCTGCACAGTCAAAGCAAACAGCACTATGACTTAATAAATCCATCTGATAACTTTTTACTTCTATGAACTTGAGGCAAAAGTACCATGAGTTTAGCTTAATCATAGTACTAAAAGGAACCTCTGAGCTTCAAAATATGGACAAAGGCACTCTCCTTTTTATTTATAATAGCAATAGCACTTAAACTTATATACCGCTTCACAGTGCTTTATAGCCCTCTCTAAGTGGTTTACAGAGTCAGCATTTTGCCCCCAACAATCTGGGTCCTCATTTTACTGACCTTGGAAGGATGGAAGGTTGAGTCAACCTTGAACCTGGTAAGATTTGAACTGCCAAATTGCAGGCAGCCGGCAGTCAGCAGAAGTAGCCTGCTGTACTGCACTCTAACCACTGTGCCACCGTGGCTCAAGCAGATGTCTTGCACGGCCCAGCTGGTAACAGTCTTGCCAGCTTAGTCATTTGTCTAGCTAGGGCCTGACAAATGCATAGTATTTTTGCAATTTGGATATATTTGAAAGAAAATTTATCTTTGAATATTTGATTGAATATTCAGAATTTCAAAACAAAATATAAAATTAATTCTAAGCACTGCCAGCCCATTTCTCTAAAACATGAACGTGTGTACAGTAATATGTAAACAATATTGTATTGTATCATGAAATAAGTTTTTCTACCAAATAAAAAATGTCATTATCAGTCCAGCAGCAATTTTATTTCTGTAAAAGGTCTGGGAAACATTGGAAGATAAATGTGGGAAGCTGTTTAGCTCTTCAGTCACCTCTGTCTTTTATGACTCAATGGACATCATTTTGTTAAAGTTGTCCGTGAGGTACTTTCTTAGCACTTCAGAGCTCAATCGTGATTCCTGCTAACTAGCTCCATTTTACCTTTCCAGTTAAACTCAACATTTGCTGGCTCCTAAGCATCCTAGGTTTCTTATATAGTTCCCTTTGATAATGAAGCAGGAAGCAGGTTTTTAGAAGTTCTGAACAGTCTTGTAGAAAATATTTTCACAGGTTAAGGTTTTCCACCATGCTGAATCAAAGTGCTATCTACCCATCCCTTGCACTAAAGGAAAATATACTGGCCTAAAATTTGTTGACCTTGTTGCCTGTCCCTCTCTTGCGTCTATTGCCCTCATTTTATTTTGCTGCTGAATGGTGGTACAGAATCCTGATTTCATGTGTGCAAGGTATGTTAAACAAAGTAATTGGTGAAATGTTCTGTCTTGTCACACCTGCTTTCTTTCAGAATGCCACCAGACAGGAAGTCATCCATCAATTTGAACAGGGGTGGGGCTTGAGTTTTTGACAGGTGCCTCTCTTGTTCAACTGCTCATGTCAAAACATGAGAACACACCTCTCAAAACATTAAACCCCCTGCTATATTTGTCAAACCATGTTGGTATCCCTTTTTTTTTTATTGAAAAGTTTTATAAGAAATACAAACAATTTTCTCCCCCCACCCTTTCTCCTTCCCCACATAGAAATTGTACATTTTCTTATACATTCTTATACATAAGAAATCCTACATATAAATGTTTCCCTTAAAGAAAGCATTAAAATAAGACATTTTAATTACATTCGGAGTTGGTCTTCTTCTCTTTCTCCCCTCATTCCACAATAAACCTTCTTCTTCTCCTCCTTTCTTTCCCTTCCCTCCCTCCTCTTCTCTCCTACTTTCTCCTGCCTCCTCTCCCCCCTCATCCTACTTCCTTTCCCTTTCCCCCACCTCTCTCTTCTTTCTCCCCTTCTCGCCTTCACTGCTACTCCTGTCCCCTTCCCTTCCCTTCCTCCTCTCCTTTCTTCCATTCCTCACCCTCCCTCTCCTCTTCCTACCCCCTCCTCCTCTCTCCTTTCTAACTTCTTTGCTGTGAAATATTTTCCTCCTTTAGTGTCTGAGCAACTCCTATATTCTACTCATAGAATATACTTTCTTCTGCTACAACATTTCTCTATTGACCACTTTCCCCCCCCCCACCATCCCTTAACCCACCCCCCACCCCCCCTGACTTCCCAGAGCAAAAACAGGGTATAGCATCTAACAAACATATGCTAAAATAAACTAACAAATTATAAAGTTCAAAACTCTCACATGTTCTTTAACTCCCTTGCTCCAATTCATCAACCTCCCTTTTATATATTCTCAAAACCAATTAAATTAAATTCATTCTTCCTGCTTATAAAAAAAATTTTTTCCTTGATGTATAATCCGATACTTTAGCAGTCTTACAAACAGTAAAAATCATGAATAAATTCCATTTCTATACCCTCAAACATCATTCTTTTTAAACATTACTCCCTAGTGAAATTCTGAGTTTAACATTAATCCTCTTCCTTCAAAGAGAAAAAAGAAAGAGAAAAAGAAAAAAAAAAGAAAAAAGATTTTTTCATCTTAAAATCTTACACATTTTATCACATATATCTTTTAAAATAATATAGTCTTATGTTAAGCATTTTAAAAATCTCTTGGTACCTTTGAAACACTTGTTTACCAAATATAAATTTCAGAATCTACAGGAGGATATCTTTCAAATTTTCAATTAATCGTCTTAATACCTCTAACTTTTTAGAGAGCAGCCCTTTACTATCCAAAATTAATTATCATTTTGCAATAAAATTCTGAATTTAACATTAATCCTCTTTGCTTCAAAGGGTTAGGCATCTTAGAAGCTTATACAATTTATCTCATATATCTTTTAAAATAATATAACCTTATGTTAAACATTTTATAAATCTCTTAATACCATTAAAACACATATTTGTCCTATGCCAGTTTCAAAATCCACAGGAAGGTATCTTTCTTAATCTTCTATTCTTCTCTTCTTTCTATATTTTTTCCAATCCTTTTTTTTTATAAATTCTTTCAACAGCCCCCCCCCCATTTTATTTTTGAAACTTTTAAAATGGTGATTTGAGGTTGATGTTTCTGAAATATTCGCTTTCTTCTTAAGGTCATGTTTTCTAACTTGAAATCCCCAGTTCGTCTCTTCTTGCTTGTATAATCATTCAGTCCATTTCTTTGTCCATATAACCAAAATTTGTTGCCATAAAGATTGTCAGCTTGCAATAAAGAAACTATTTGTTGCTTTTCTATCATTTGAATGGAAACGTCCACCAAAATTTTTGTTTCAACTGTGCCAGCCAGTCTCTTAATCCAGTCCATCTCCTGAACTTCCAAAAACAAATTCTTCTGAATAATTTCCTGCTGTCCCTTTAACAACTGCTTATATTTTCCCAAGCTGTTTTTTGAAAAAGCCCTTTCAATTGTATTCAACAGGGCTGAAGTAAAAGAGTCTAAAAGTTCTTGAAAAGCCTGGACTGTCACGGCTTGGGAATTTGC